AGGGGGTGGGAGTGGATGAAAGGATGGCTTCATGGACCTTGCCCTGTACTTGTGACCCATTAACGCCTGCGCCCCTTCGTTTTCCAGCCCTAAACCTGGAACATTAGTGTACCGTACCTGTGGGGAGCAGTGTGACCCCCCGTCACCGAGACAGCTGGGAGACAAACCTAGCAGTGTGATCCCCCGTCACCGAGACAGCTGGGAGACAAACCTAGCAGTGTGACCCCCCGTCACCGAGACAGCTGACTGGGAGACAAGCCTCGCTGTGTTGTGTACCGCTGGTTGTTGTTTACCACTCGTTTGGCGACCCCAGGTTGCCACGAACTCTGCAATCATTCACAAGAAGCAGAAGCAAAGACACAAGAGAGTGAGAGGGAGAGAGGCGCTGTACTCATCATAAAAAAGCCAGAAAACGGTAAGAAGTTTCAACAGATGTGATAGACAAGTCTTAAATTACCGGCTACTACAATCCTTCATCAGCAATTTGCAATTTGTTTAATTGATTCGGATATATAAGGACTGCGTCTTTTTCTGTGGAGGTGACTGGAACACACGTTTATTGGTATGGACTGTCCAGAACGGTCTATTTGAAATACATTTTTACCCCTGTTTAGCGCTGTACTTTGGATTTTTATCACTATAAGACAGTCTCCATTTAATTAGTCTTTCAGATAATATTAATTTTTCTTTTTTTCTTTTTTTCTTTCTTTTTTTTGTGAAGTGTTTTACGGCGCTCGCAACTGCTTAAGGTCATATGAGCGCGCGGGACGCACCTAATATTTTCAGTTTTTACTTTTATCGATTTTAGACCACCAAGGGATCTTTAACGTGCGCAACTTGCACACGGCCCTCCGAGATTTTTCGCCCTTGTCCGAGAAAGCTAGGTGTAGATCTTGCCTACCAGAAGATCAGGGGTGTGGCTGAAAGACAGCAGTAAGAAGAAACAAGGAGTAGCAGTAGAAAGGCTGCAGAAAGAATCAGGAGCCCAGAGGAAGGGGCAAAGGATGTGAGGGGGTGGGGGCAGAAAGAGGAGACGAAAGCAGACGACAGAACATTGCTAGTGAGCAGAAAATGAGGTGAAAGGAGACAATTTTAGAGAAGAAAATTTTGCGGTCGCTACCCGGATTCGAACCCGGGACCTTTTGAATGAGGGGCCAACACCTTAAAACCTCTAGGCCACGAGTTCCCCTTTAATTGTTCTCCGAAATTGAAGTGCCATTTTACAGGTAAAGGCGTTTCTCCGCAGGGCGAAATGCTTTTTTTTCTTTTCAACTAGCAGCGGCTAAAATGAGCATACTCTTCTTGTTGAGGCAGACCAGGTGTTCAGTATGACTGATATTGCTGGTCAGACCGGTATCTGCCTTACAGGTTGCTCTATCTGATTTCAATAGTATTATCATGATTATGTTATCTGTATGTCGTGTATTCTGGTGGCGCCCACATTTGCGTCGCTTTTTAGAAGAAACCATAAACTGTTCAGACCTTAAAAAAAAATAACGAAGGAAGCATTTCATATTCGTGAGAACACGACTGACGTTGGATATTCACGGTTTTGAACTAAAGAATTTTTTTAACAAAATTGTAGCTCCATTCATTATAGATCGTTATACAACACTCCTCAATTGAGTCGTTGGTTTTCAATTCCACTGTTATTAATAAAGGAATAAATGGGAGCATTCTCGAGGTTGGAGCGTTCGCTAACTTGGCTCAACGCTGCGCGGATAGAAAACATGCGGATGTTTATTGTACAGGGCGGTTGTCAGGTCTTTCGTTTAATCAATTATTTTCCTGTTAACATTATCATTCTAGCAGAAACCTATTGAGAGCATTAAAACAGCTTATGATTCAAGCGCACTGAACGCCCTTTGAAAAGGACTGTTTTTGTTCGTGTTTCTAAGTGTTTTACGGCGCTGGCAACCGCATACGGTTTTATGAGCGCGTGGGACGCATTAACCATTTTCAGTTTGATAGAAATTAATTTTGAATTTTGCCCTGGTGACAGATGAAGCCTACTCTTATCAATTCTAGGACCACATAGGGATCTTTAACGTGCGCAACTTGCACACGGGACACCCGAGATTTCTCGACCTTCCGAGAAGGCTAGGCTTTACATCTTACCTACCCTAAGATCAGGGGTATGTCTGAAATATAGCAAAGGGGTAGAAGCAAAAAGGGTGCAGAATTAGTATTGAATGAGAGGCGAACACCGTACCTAGATCACGAGAACCCCCTTGAAAAGGTCTTTGTTTGTTTGTTTTTGTAAAGTGTTTTACGGCGCTCGCAACTGCATAGGTCATATGAGCGCGCGGGACACACCTAATATTTTCAGTTGGTAGGAAATTTTGAATTTTGCCCGGGTGGCGGCCGAAGCCTACTCTTATCGATTTTGGACCACCAAGGGATCTTTAACGTGCGCAACTTGCACACGGGCCCTCCGAGATTTTTCGCCCTTGTCCGAGAAGGCTAAGTGTAGATCTTTCCTTGAAAAGGTCTGAAATGTCCTGATGAGGGGGCCGCGAAGACAATTCGTTACCTTAGAATTACAAGTTCAATCTGACATTTTTGGCCGTTTTAGGTTACTACATGAGGTCAGAAACCAAAGGTACTATCTGCTCTATCAAAATCGTTCGATTATTCGGAGTAGTTATCAAGATACTTACATTTTTAAAAAGCTTAACATGTTGTGAAACTCAAAGTTTTCAACGTCAAATTTCCCTAAACTAGCTACTGAGCAGATACAGCTTTGTAGTTCTAGGGTAACGAATTATCTTTGGTTTCGAAAGAATGAGAAACGTAAGTATGTTACGTTATGCAATGGGAGCAAAGAATACATGCAATCATGGAGAACTTCCTGTCAAAGTTATGAATTATCTTCTGAATGATGAATGATAAATAATATACGCCACAAAAATGTACCTGTTTCCTGCAGTTTAAGGAACGTTGTAGTTAGCTTTGATTTTGAAGCCTATACATTTCTCGTAAATTTTTTTTAGCCCTTCTGGAGCCCAAGAACTAACATTTATTTTCGGTTCGGTCTGCCCCTTCATCCCTTGCCTTCATCCCTTGCTTCCAACATCTTATATATTATGTTTCTTGAGTGAACCATGACGTTTGATATGCCAAAAGGCAGTTCAGTCTCAGTTTTCTTATGATCTCAGGAAGTGTTGGCTTTTCTGCTTGTCCTTTTCTATCCCATACCAACTAGGCATGTTAAGAGGGTGGTTGGCGGATGCTCTAGTATAGTGTGCTCCTTCTTTCTATCAAACAAAAATCGTCCTTATCGCTCCTCACGCTTTTGTTTGTTACTCTCTTGTAAAATTTCGACACTCTGTGATCTTATTGCCTTGTAAGAACCGTAACACACGTTCTAATACGTAACTACGCTTCTTAAGAAGTGGACGCACCATAAAGGTAGCACTGTGTAACCAAGCACTGTGGGTTTGACAAGACTTATAGAGGGTGCCCATTAGCGCGATTGGGTCGGGTCGGGTCGTCGGGTCTGTCGGGTCGGTCGGGTCGTCGGGTCGTCGGGTCGGGTCGTTTTCTGGTGGTTTCAGTGCTCTCTACAACCCGCCGTGATTGTATCCGACGACCTGGAAGAAACCATTAACCTCAATGGCTTCCAGGGCTCCTTTCAGCCACTCCCTGTTGCTGTGCTGCGGCAGCCTTGAATTCCATAAACATGGGTTACATTGATAACTTTCAATTATCAAAGATCGTTCATAACAAGATAGTCCACTCGGCCAAAAAGTGTAAGCGGAAGTCCGCACATTGGTTCAGATGGCGATGCAGTCTTTGTTTTGAAACTCTCTTTCGTTTCTCCAAAAGAAGAATAGGAATAGCATAGTTTCATAGTTTCGCTTTTATTGTTTTTCACTCTAGTAGGGTAACTCTTTTCGCAAAGTCCGCACTTTTTTCGAAAAGGGCGCATCCAGATTTTGGGTCTCAACATGGACACGTGACTCTGCCTTGTTGTGATTGGCTGCAAAGCACCCGATCACGCGACTCGCAGGCCTGAAAACAAACATGTTTCTTTTTTAAGGTCACCGACCGAGTCGATTGGTTTGTGCCACGATGGCCGCTTTGCGCCCTCAATTTGGCTTGCCCGGGCACCTCCTACTATTACTCTTGAATGCGGAATGCGCACAGCCAACCGGGTTCTTTTGATTCAGTCGGGGCCAGCCAGATTCTCCTTCATGGATGCGACAAGAGCTGCCATTTTGTCACATTTAGACCGAATTTGACGAAGCCCGATTGCTTGTTTTTCAGGGTCGCGGGTCGAATCGCTCATATTGCGCCAAATTGGTGGCTTTTTGCCTCATCCATGGAGGAATCATATAGCTAAACTCAACTCAAATCGATTAATTTGATTCGTAGTGTGCATCAAGCAATAGACCAAGTTTCCCAACTCATGTGGTTTCTTGTAGCACGCTGTTAGAACTTTAAATTTCACCATGCATAACCCTGTGTGTTGTCCATATGGTTTCAAAGATTTAAGCATTCAAGCGTTGCTGTTTCGGTTGGTGTTAAAAAAGAAATTCATGGTCGTATTATCACTAGATATAAGTGTAGTAGATTGCATGGTTGGAGAGCGCCACTGGTAGGTCCTACTTCTTTACGTTCCTTCTATTGTTTCTGTCTGCCTGTCTTACTTTTTCCCAGCACTAAATGACCATGATCGTATCAATGTGCTTCCCTTGACTGAAACAAACAAACAAAAGTACGAAATACGTAAATCAAAATCCAGTTGATATAAGAATAAGGCCCGCGAACACTACGAATTTTTAAATTATTAGTTGCAAAACTGGGAAGTAAGACTACCGGAACGTCACTTGAGAAGAGAGACAAAAGAGCTAAAATTGCTTCATTTGCATTTTATACGCGTGTGTGACTTGTGGAAATGTTCCTCTTGTTCGCGGGAGTTTAAGAAAGAGAGAGAGAGAGAGAGAGAGAGAGAGAGAGAGAGAGAGAGAGAGAGAGA